AGGGATCCAAAGATAGTATAAGTATGAGATTGTATATTTGAGGATGACTTAAATGAATTAATTTGTACTACCTATACTGACAATATCCATATGCCTTTCTGTAGCTTATCTCATAAGAACTCCACAGTTAAGCGTGCTTGACTTGGAGTAATATAGGGATGGGTGACCTTCTGGGAAGTTTCCCAAAAATTGTGTAATTAAGGACAAAACATGCTGAAAAGTGAAGTATTGTGAAATAGAATCCTTGAGAGGCCAAATATGAGTATTTCGTAGCGACCGAATTTGTAACGTCTATAAAATTTAATAAAATAAAAAATAAATCTTTAGCGACCGATTTATACGGTCACTAATTTGGTCCCCATACACATCAATGACCAAAATCATTGCAATCATTTTGCGACCGAAATTTTCGGTCGCTAAACAGCGACCAAAATTTTCGGTCGCTAAATAGCGACCGAAAATTTTTTGGTCGCTATATAGCTTTGCGACTAGGGTTTTTGCGACTACTTAAATTCGGTCGCTAATTCGGTCGCTAAGGCAAATAGTGACCGATTTTAGCAATTTAGCAACCGATTTTGGTGGTCGCTAAATCCAATTTTTTTGTAGTGACACATATAGCGTAATAATGTAATTAAATTAAGGAAATACAACACTGGTAAAAGGGTTCTCATAAAAACTTTCACAAATGTTCTTCAATATCCAAAATGATTGAAAATGAACATTGAAAAATAAAACGTAAGAGTTTACAAATTGTTTTTAAAGTAATAAGTACAACTTCAAATCCATATAAAAATTCATGTCCTAGAAATTCTCTGTCCCGATGTCACAATATCAAAGTATACCCGCAATTCAACTGTATTCTAGATGCCACTCATAGCTGGATCTTCCTCACCTAAAACATCCACAATTGCACAGTGAGAAAAGAAAACATTTATAAGTAAAGCACACAAGGAAAAACACAACATAATCTTATCATAACTCATCAATTAATCAAGTCTTTACAAGCATATCCATACATTCTAATTCTATCAATCATGCATCATATTCACATCACAATTTCACAATCACATCAGTCTATCACAAATCTTATAATTAGCACTATGACAATGGTCACGCCACCTCAAGGTCGTATCACTCTAGACATAAGTGATACGTATTAATTGTCTCACTCATCCCACACTATGCCAGTGGCATGCCATCCCTGTAGCATCACTTACCTAGGGTCATCTCATCCCTGGTCATATATGTGAGGAACCACAATCACATCACAATCACAATCATCACAAATCTTACTATGTCAAGGTCACGCTACCCTTCAGCCTAGGGTCGTGCTCACCCTTGACATAACATTGTGCCAAGGTCACGCTACCCTTTTAGCAGCCTAGGATCGTGCTCACCCCTGACATAACACTGTGCCAAGGTCACGCCACCCTTTTAACAGTCTAGGATCGTGCTCACCCTTGGTCATCAATATGAGGATCCACAATCACATCTCATTCACATTCCACACATCTCATTTCATAACTCAAATTCCATATTACATACAGATAAGCCTACACAATACAATGATTCACATACCCATCAAGCAATTCACCATGAATACACATCTTTAACAATAATATAACAATAATATTTATAAATTAATATAAAACCCAATTAATTCACCAATTTAATACAATATTAAATCAAATAGTAGAATCCCCAATTTTTCTAAAACCTAACTCACAAGTACTTTTCTACAATTTCGTTCTCTCTCCCAGATTATTATTTTCACAAATTAAATATATATAATATATATTTCTAATCCTCAATACATACAGAATCTAATGGGATCATCACACTACAAGAAAAATGCTAATTTCTGACGGAAATTTCTGAAGGAAAAAGGTAAATTTTCGACAGATTTTGTTTTTTCCGGCGGATTTAAATCCGTCGGAAAAAAAAATTCGTCAGAAATAATTTAATCCGTCAATTTTTTTTAATTTTAATAAATTTATTAATGCAACAGTCCTCATATTTGGCCTTTCAAGGGTTCTACTTCACAACATTTCACTTAAGTTATATCAAGCCACGCAATTCTTTAAGTGACGCGCTGAGCGCGAAATGGTACGCGCCGGGCGCATAACGGAACGCGCCTGGCGAGAGGTTGAGCACGCTGAGCGCGATATCAACTTTCCTCAAATAAATTAACCACCTCAAATTATTAACTATTTATTTTATTACTTAACTTCAATTCTTTTATTCTACTTTTAATATTGTAAATAAAATATAGAAGTACTACTAAGTACTGCTTATGAAGGTGCCTATGAAATAATAATAAATACAATGCACCAAGCATTGCTTATCAAGAAAACGCTAATACTTTTCTAACTTACTACTAAGTGATAAAGTGGGGTCACTTGGATGAAATGAAAATAATCTATAACATTATATAATAAGAATACTTATTTTAATAATTATTTTTAATTTTTACAATTAGTTGGACCAATGTATCTTTAATATAATAATCATTTTTATATTTTGTTTAGTTTTTGCATCATTTTGTCTTTTTTTCACTTATATAATGTCACTTCTTACTCACTTTCTTAACTATATAAACTACTTGTGTCTCGAATAAGATTTAAATACTTTCCATTTAAATAAAAAAACTTTTGCTACATTTATGTTACAAATGAAAAGTTTTCATATAAATTTTCTCTCATCTTATTATTTTTAATATCTTTTATTTAATAGTGAAAGCATGGTTTTACTTACCCTAATAAAAGAATAGAAAAGGTGAAAAAAAAATTAGATGATTTTATCCTTAAATATTTAAATAATAAAAGATAATATTAATTTCTTTTATTCTCACCTCCCGAATAAATTAATCACCTCAAATCATTATCAAACATCCATTTTATTACTTTTTCAAAGAAGGAGAAGTACTACTTATAAAAGTACCTATCAAGTAATATCAAATAGAATATACTAAGCATTGCATATTAAGGTGTCTATAGAAGTCACATGTAATCAAATTGAGATTCTCTCTATTTCTTTCTCCTCATTTTTTGTAATTTTAAGTGTATAAATTTCATTAGATGTTAATTACTTTTTTTGTGATTAACATTTAATATCATCTATACATCCAAAATTATAGAAATAAACGGAGAGAAAAAAATAGAAAAGATCCTAACTCTTTTTTTAATTAAAAATTATTCTTTATTTTTATAAGAAAAACCGTAAAAAAAAATACTTATGACTTTTATCCACCGACTCTTGGTCATAAATATTTCCGTGATTATTGTGGATTCTTTTTCTTCCACAACATTGTCCATAAAGCCCGTTTAGATTTCTCGATGTATAAGAGTTGCCGGGGAAGAAACTACCGTGCCTTTCCCTTGCAAATTTTATTTAACTTCAGAAGAAAAAAAAATCATAGCTAGTTCATTAATATCACAATCATGTATAACAAAAAGAAAATTGCGAAATGAAAAAAAGAAACCTCCTCACTAATTGCTTAACAACACATTCTTCACATCGACACCTTACCATGAAATTCAGTTTTGCATAGACGAATTTAACTAACGACTAAGCTCAATCATCATTACACAACAAATATAGACTTTTCCTTGTACACATTTTGAAACAAACCCCTTTGTAAGACCCAATCTTCAATCATTGCTTGAGAATTAACAGCTTGATCAGTAGGCAAAAGATGCCCAGCACCCAAAACCACAACATTAGTGAGAGATTTCCACTTTTGCACATACCCAACAACCTCTCCATTAACCCTCCATATCTTCCTTTCAGCATTCAGAAACTCCTCAATCCCTTCCCATTTCATTGTCTTCACCCAAACCTCTGTTTGAACCACACCATCCCTCAAATCATACTCACCTTGATATAACAACACCCTGCTCCTCCTCACCAAGTGCTCCACCATATACTTCACACTCTTCATCACATCAGCATGCAAAGCAGCCCCAACAACATCACTGCTCCAAGGTGGCCCTGGCTGCTCCTCCATGCTTGGTAACTTGTACGAACTTGGACCCTGGCGTGTCACTGAATCCCTCACCCTTCAACCCAACCCTGGTGCTTGGAACAGAATCTTTGGCCTTCTAATAAGAAATTAAAAATAAGAATTAAAAATAAGAAATTTTTATATTTCTGTCAAAAATTTTCGACAGAATCGAAAAATTTCCGTCAGAAATTTCTGACGAATTTATATTTCTGTTGAAATTTTTCGACGGAAAATTTCTGAAGAAAATTTCGTCAGAAATTTTTGACAAAAATATAAATCCGTCAAAAATTTCTTACGGAAATATCCGTCGGAAATTTTTCATCGAAAATTTGCGTTTTTCTTGTAGTGTCAATTCCTCAAACAGAAATAATTATAAAATTACCTATAAACCTAAGATATTCTTTCTCTACCCAATTCCCTCGTGTAATTTTACATACAAATAATCTCCTTTTCCCCGTACCTCGATAAGTAGTAGCTGAAACTAAAACAGAGACACTACAATAAAATAGACTTTTAGTGACATTTATTATGACTTTTAGTGGCAATAAAAATTGCTACAAAATCTTTTACCGGCATTTCACACATTAGCCATTGTATGCAATGTCGCTAAAACATTTACCGACAATTATTTTATATGCCGGTAAAGACCCTCATAATGGTCGAGAAAAGTGTATAACTTTTTGTGTTATTTGTTACTGGCATTTAAAATTGCCGCTAAAAGTTTAAGAAAACATTTATAATACTCTTTAATTATTTTATTTCTAATCGATGTAAGACTTTTAAGATGAGTACAAATACTCTTTAGTTACCTTATTTCTAATTGATGTGGGACTTAGAAGATGAAGGTTCTAAGTATATATTCCTTAATTTTTTTAATTATCTTATATCCTAAATATCAACTTAGAATAGTAAGTTATAGGCCTAACTCAACCTTACAAAATATACTTGTAAGGTAAGTGTTATCATTCACTTATATACTCTTTAATTATTTTATTTCTAGTCAATGTGGGACTTAAGTTTTTTCTAACAAATAATTGTCGTTAATAATAAACTTTGATGTGATGTAAATACATTTTTAGTGACAATTATATAATAGTTATTAATATTTTTATTAAATAATAAAATAGAGGTAATTAATTTATTGTCATTAAATAATTGTCGGCAATACTAAATTTTGTTGTAGTGAGATCTCCTTGGTCTCCTCCTCTAAGTGCCCCTCGGTCTTCAGAGAGTGTAGAAGAAAAAGAATAGAATGTAGAAGAAAGAAGTCAGAACTGAAAAAAGTCAGAACTGAAAGGTGTGATTTTTGGGAGTGCCAGAGCGCTCTATTTATAAGCATCAAGAGTGGCCGAAAAGGCCCGTTTCAAATCTGGAACGGCCCGTTCTGGACTCTTCGTCATGTGTAAAATTTCACATCCAGAATGGCCCGTTCTAAAACTAGAACGGCTCGTTCTGGGGTTACATTTTAACCCATAACGGTCATATTCGGAACGACCAGTTCTCAACTAGGGTTATAGGCATTTTTTGTAATTTGGAACGCCCCGTTCCCAACTAAGATTTGTAGGTAATTTTAATATTTTGGAACGACCCGTTCCAATTCGGGAATGGTCCGTTCTGAGATACTAAATCACCCTCATTTTAGTAGTTTGGAACGACCTGTTCCAATTTGGGAACGGTCCGTTCTGGGCTACTAAATCACCCCTATTGGGCTTTGGGCCCTCGTACAATCTATGAAAATCGGGCTGTTACAATCCTCCCCTCCTTTTAGAAATTTCGTCCCCGAAATTCACCTGAAAACAAAAATAGGTAGGCTCCTCGCATCTTGCTTTCTAATTCCCATGCAATCTCACTACCTTACTGATGTACAACTCTAACAATCTCACCAAGGAATGTCTATTATCAACGAGGGTAAGGCAAGTAAACTTGGTGAGTCTATCCACTATAACCAAAAAAGAATCAAATTTTGTAATCATCTTAGGGAAGCCTACAACCAAAGTTTATCTACACACCATCTCACTTCCAAAATGGGATGTCTAAAGGCTGCAAAAGTCCTAAAGACTTCTAGCATACTAAACACGAGTACACAAATTCCTCTACTCCTTTCTTCACCTTAGGCCATTACGCTTCCGCTGCGCCACTTTGATACATCTTAGTAGCTCCTAAATGAATGCTAAGAGTACTCTTATGTCCTTCCTCTAAGATCATCTTCCTTAATTCGGGATTACTAAGCACCCAAGTTTTGTTCTTACACCTCAAAACAACGTCGATTCCTACTCAGAAAAGGTTATTTATACTTCTACCAATCTTCTCCACTTGGTTCACTAAGAAAGGATCTAACTATTGGCTTCTCTAATCTCATCCATTAATTCACTAGTCACTTTCCAACATACTCAATTCAATGATCCTAAAAGTAAGCTCACATATCAAGCTTAAGTCTCTAAACTTTTTAATCAAATCTAACTCTTACATCATCAAAATGATAGGTGAAAGGTCATCTTACTCAAGATATCTACTACAATATTATCTATGTTTTTATGACCCTGTCCAAAGGTCAAACACCTAAGCGTAGGTTCACTAGGTATACATACTCGATCTCTAAATCTCATCACTCCCCTACAACCAAGGCAAACTTCTCATCCATTATCTTGTCCTATAGCCTCACGTTTTACCACCAAAAATGAATCATCTAAATGTGTTTTTCCAATTTCCTTTGACAATCCATTAGTTACTCGAGTCATACCTAGTTTCACACTACTAGGAGTAATTTCACAAGTCAAACTTAAACCCTTAGACCGAGCCAAAAGGTCCATCTCTCTAATCATAAGAGAAGTTAACTGTAGAGGTTTCCTACTCAAAGCATCGATCATCACATTGGCTTTACCAAGATAACAACTAAGATTAAAATCCTATTCTATAAAAATTCCAATTATCTCTTTTGTCTCATATTCAACTCCTTTGGGGTCAAACAATATTTAAGGTTCTTATGATCACTAAATACCTCAAGCTTAGAATCATATAGGTAGTGTCTCCAAATCTTAGTGTAAATATTACAACCGCTAACTTAAGGTCATGGGTAAGGTAATTCCTTTCATGGATTTTCAATTGCCTAGAAACATAAGCTACTACCTTTCCTTCTTGCATCAACACTCCACTCAAACCCATCTTAGAAGCATCACTATATACCACAAAATACTTACTAAAATTCGGTAGTATTAACAGTAATCAATCTTTCCTTAAGAGTTTGGAAACTACTCGCACACGTCTATCCCACACAAAGACAACACTCTTCCTAATCAATCTAGTCAAAGGTAATGTTATCTTAAAAATTTCCTCAATAAATCTCTAACAGTAATGAGCTAACCCAAGAAAACTCATAATCTCACTAACTGGCTTTGGTATCTCCCACTTAAACACGACCGCTACCTTAAGTAGATCTACGTTATACCTTTGCTAGAAATTATAGGGCCTAGATAACTCACCTCATACAATCAAAAATCACACTTAGATAAATTAGCGTAAAGTTGTCTTGAATATATTCTATAAGAACTTGGATAGAAAAGGAATAATTGAGAAGCATTTGTTATTCAATGGATACTAACATTCTCCTTCGTTTTAGTATTTACACAACCACATATATATAATGGAAAATAAAGGAAAAGAAGGGGCAGCAAGCAGAACGAAAAGGAAGGAATCAAATCCCAACCATATCATTCTGTTATATGAAAGAGAAAGAAAGGAAATAGTCTATATCTTCCAATACGTGCTTGATATGGGAATTGCAATGATGACTTAGCAAAAGAAAATGCTACCACGTATCATCAGTAGCCTTAGTAATGTGACAGGTGGAATTCTAATAGCCCCCTTCAAGCTGGAGGCTTAAAAATGTCTAAGACTCCAAGCTTGGCTAATAGGAAGTTAAAGGATTTGGGAAGTAAGGCCTTCGTGAAGAAGTCTGCTACTTGATCAGGTGAGCCTATGGGCAACAATCTCATGAGTCCAGACTGCAGTTTAGTACGAACCACATGACAATCTATCTCAAGGTGCTTAGTTCTCTCATGGAAGACTGGGTTATTAGCTATATGGAGAGCACTCTGGTTATCACAAAACAGAACTGGTGATTTCTGACAAATGACCTGTAGATCATTGAGAAGGAAGACAAGCCATTGTAATTCACATGTTGCGGAAGCAAGTGCTCGATATTCAGCTTCAGCTGAAGATCTAGCCACTGTTGATTGCTTCTTTGAGCGCCAACTAACAAGAGAATGTCCAAGGAAGAAGCAATATCCAGAAATTGATTTCCTTGAATCAATACATCCCCCCCAATCTGAATCTGAGAAACCTTACAATTGTAAACTTGTCTTTCTTGAAAAAAATAATCCTAACCCAGGTTGTTTCTTCAAGTACCTCAAAATCCTCATTGCAGCTTTATGATGAGCTTGAGTAGGTGCTGTCATGAATTGACTCACTTATTGTGTAGCAAAAGTGATGTCTGGTCTTGTGCAAGTAAGATACAACAACCTTCCCACAAGCCTTCTATATGATGATACATCTGTAAAAGGCTGTCCAGAATTAGTGTACAATTTCACTGCAGGGTCAAGAGGAGTAGAGCAAGGCTTGCAGTCTGTAATTGATGCATCTTGCAATAATTCCAGGCAGTATTTTCTTTGTGAGAGTGAAATTCCAAGTGAGGAATGAGCTACTTCCATCCCAAGAAAATATTTGAGTAAGCCAAAATCTTTGATGCCAAAAGCAATTTGCAACTGCTCCTTGACAAAATTAAACTCAGAAATTGAATTACCAAACAACATGATATCATCTACATATACCAAAAGTCCAGTGATAGATGAATTAGTGAACTTAAGGAAAAGAGAGTGATCTGAGTTAGCTTGCTCATAGCCAATATTGGTGAGGAAATGAGAGAGTTTATCATACCATTGTCTGCTTGCTTGTTTTAAACCATAAAGTGA